ATGACATGTTTCCTCTCCACTCTGCTACAGCTGTCGGGCATTTTAGAGCAAACGCTACAGAAGGAAATTTCATCAACATTTTGTTATTTAATGTCAGAGCTTTGACATTTATGTTGTTGATGGTTTTTTAGAAAATAACAGCTATGATTATCGCCACTTTTATGGTAGAACATACACAATCTTATGAACTTTTTAACACTAAATACATGTATGTATTTAAAAGTCAAGAAATGTTCTAAGAATAAGATATTGTGTATAATACAGTATCTTTTAAGAGTTGTACTTATGATTATTGATTCACTTGTTCATGTCATCCCTGTGACAGACTGAAGCCAAGACTCCAAAGGTCTCCATAGTTACCAGTCAGAGTATAGTATAATCTAGATGTCAATCTGCACCTTCCAACCCTCTGACCACCACCATAGAGAATTTTCTCAATTAAAAACTAAATACTTAATATTTCGACATGTTATAATGTTCCATCTTCAGTCCATCTCTTTTTTGAGAGCCGCAAACTTCTTTAGAAATGTCCATAACAATAATAAAAGGTAATGCTACAACTTTCTTCCAACAAGCTTGAGCTGATGAAAGAATATTCCCATTTATAGCCAAAGACGAAAACGTTTTGTTTAAATGTTTTCTCCTTGCCTTTTGCTATTGATATCTTGCTTGAAATGTCACTCTTCTTCAAATTATGGAATTCTCAGTGAGAAGACAGAGACCTCTGCACACATTTCACATGTAACATGGTGAAGGCACGTGCATGTTTCCAATGTAAATGGAAACATTTTAATTGAAACCTGTCCAGGCAAAACAACAACATATAGATGAACCAACACAAAAAGCAGACCCTCCACCAGGACAGATGTGGATTGCCCCTTTTTACTGTTATCAGGCTGCAAATGTTGATCGTGGTCTGTCTATCACTATAGTGCAGGTCTGAGGGGCTTGTTGACCAGAGCAGAAGAACCCTCTGTTGTCATGGTGCTGGGACACACAGAGGACAAAGGTTGGACAGGACGACCCACAGTCTTCATGCAGACATATTTTGACTTACATCTAGTCTGTACAGACCAAAAGTTAGGACACACCTTCTCATTCAAAGTTCTTTTTTTATTTTCATGATTATGAAAATTGTAGATTCACACTGAAGGCATCAAAACTATGAATTGACTCATGTGGAATTATGTACGTACTACAAAAAAAGTATGAAACAACTGAAAATAGGTTCTAGGTTCTTCAAGGTGCTCCACCTTTTGCTCTGATTACTGCTTCACAAATTACCCCACTGTGGGACGAATAAAGGAATTCTTATCTTATCTTGATGAGCTTCAAGAGGTAGTGACCTGAAATGGTCTTCCATCAGTCTTGAAGGATTTCCCAAAGATGCTTAGCACTTGTTGGCCCTTTCGACTTCACTCTGTGGTCCAGCTCACCCCAAAACCATCTGGATCGGGTTCAGGTCCGGTGACTGTGGAGGCCGGGTCATCTGTCGCAGCACCATCACTCTCCTTATTGGTCAAACAGCCCTTACACAGCCTGGGTGTGAATCTACAGTCAATAGTCATGAAAAGAAAGGACACTCATTGAATGAGAAAGTGTGTCCAACTTTTGGTCTGTACCAAAAGTGTGTACAAACATTTGGTCTGTATTTTATCAATAAAATAAAACCACAAAATGAGGAGTGTCAGGGACAGCCTTGGGTTACATATCTGTGGTCTTATCTAATCTTTGTTGGAAGGAAACCAGAGAGGTCTCCTGTCACCCACTGTTCCATTTATCACAATATCTTATCATTCAGACCTGCTTTATGCCAGGTTGTGCAGTAAAAAAAAAGAATTTGATTATCACATGCCTACAAAGATAGAAATAAAAAAATAAACAATCACTGATGTGTGATCAGAAGCAATAGGATTATTTTATGAGGCAATTGTTACCATGTGACAAACTCTCAGGATCCTCAGCTCAGATCAGCAGAGGGCTATTGGCGTCAGAAGAACTGCTTTCAAGCCCACGATGATGATGATGTCTGTGATCAGTGTCTGTAAAGCTTCTATTGCAGATGTTTTTTTGTGTGTGATAGAGTGATGCTGCTAGACATGTGGATGTGATACTGATCTTTGGGGGTGTCTTCACTTCTCACGCCCATGTAGTCTGAAGTCTGTCTCTGCACAGGGCTGTCAGTTAGTGCTGTGCTAATGCCTAATGGCCTGTTTGAACTGCTATTAATGTTAATGTAGTGCACAATTCATTTACAGATGACTGAAATGCTAATGCTAACTTCTCCAATCAGCAGTAACTGTAGTTTTCTCAGGAATTCAGGCCTAGGAGGAGCAGATAATGCAAATGTTTGGTCTTCATGTCTCAATGTTGTGACTTCAGGAAGTTTTTGCCTCCATAAGTGCAGATACTTCAGTACTTTTGATAATGAGGGACATTTTGTTTTATGTTAAATGCCCACTCTGTATAATTTCCTGTTTTAATTGGCGCATTTATCTTTTACAGTGTATACTTCCGACATGTAATAAAGACATAAAAAATGAATGTGTAACCAGGAGAAAGAAACCTAAGTCAACTCTAAGAATACAATTGTATGGACATTTTTCAACATGTGTTCTATATTCTTTGTGTGTTTTAACTGTTGATTCTCTGATCTGTGTTGGTGATTTCAATGGTTTTGTTAAGTCCTCCGAGATGACTTCTGTTGTAAAACAGGCAGGTCTGAATCCACACAGCCATTTGGAGGAAGGACAGTAAATTTTGTTTAGCTTGTGGTCTAAAATTACTTATGATTATACATGTTTAGATTACATGTTTAAATGATTCTCAGGTCTGGAGTTCTGCAAATGGTCCTGTCCAGAGTTGTGGGGGTTAGGATTGTAGGATTTTATGGGAACATGAGGTGTGAGGAGCTTGAATCCACCTTTTGTCTGTTCTTTTTGCATGTGGGGTGTGGAGCCGTGGGACTGTGGCGGTCATACCTCGGCAGGGAAGTCCATTCAAGTGCTTTTGCATTCGAGAGGCCGATCGATCACATGGTGCACCTGAATAATGACACAAGAAGGCACGCGCCCATATAAATGCACACCATTCTACATAATGCTTTGAAATACGCAAAAGGTAGGTTTCAATGTGCACTTTCCTAAAGGAGGATCTGCTTTTTTGCTTGGGCTTGTTAAAATGCTGTTTTGCCTGGAATGACAAATTCTCATGAGAGAAAAACAAGTTAATTGTTTCTTGTCTCTTTTACAGGTCATATCTGCGGAGAGGCAAGCCAACTTGTTTTTAAATAACAATACAATTATGCATTTAACCATTCCAAGAAAAGTACAGCACTGATTTCACCTTTAAGAGCAACACAAGAATGTGATGTTGCTAAATCCTGGAATTGAGTGGCCATAAACTAAATCTAATAAGGCCACTCATTCGTTAACATGGTCACAGGAGCATACTTTAAGTTTCTTTGTGTGTCTTTGACGATCCTACTAATGAAAACATTCATGGCAGAAACCAATCCTCAATTTGGATCAATCTAGAACAGTGTATAAATGCATTTTCTTTCCCTTGACTGCAAACATGGATCAAACATTAACATACAAATGAAAGTAGTTCAGAAGACCTATAATGTGATTGCTCACATCATGAATCATTATTTTACTTGCCAATTGGCTTCATAAAACCTTAATTATAATAGCATTGAAATATAACAGATTGTTTTGGAAACTCACCTTTTATAATATTTCCTCACTTGATTTGTCAAGCAGCTCCTTGATCATGTCAACATGGCACCAGTCCTAAAATGGAGTATAAAGAAAAGACAAAAAAGGCTTACTTCAATAAATCAGATTATTCAATTCACTTTGACATAGTGTGGAAAATGAAGCACACAGAGAGACGGGATCAATGACATATGATATCCCTTCTTATCAGGATTATGATGATGGACAAATATACCTATACAGCCATTTTACTTTTTATAGTCAAGTAAAGTAAAGAATAGTGTCCGTGTATTATATTGGTAAATGAATGCCAAATACTCGGGCACAGGCAGATCCGAGCAGAAGTATGCATACCTAATCATTGCAAGAGCGATATCTTTGTTATTAGTCATTTTGTGTGGGCGATAAGGCCTCAACTCTGAGCACATGGCTTCAATGTAACCTCAATAGAGTTTGAAATGTACAATGGTTTGAGACTTGAACACATGCAATAATCCTGTGTATCCTTTGCAAATGTGTCTCCTATTTTAATCTAGCACATGATCATATCATAGGCTACTGATGAAGACATTTATTGATAGTATCACTTAGCTCTTGTGTGTGTGCATGTCTGAATAATGCTATGTGAAAATGTGTTTTTCTTGCTCCAAGAATTTTGAAATCATTGCAGCAATAACCAAAAACCTTGGCGATATAGTTGCTTTCTATGAGTCCTGGTACAATAAATCTATAGTTATTTCTCAATTGAATTTAAGAACAAAGACACAAAAGATGTCGAAAAAGCAAAAATGTAGCCTCCCCTCTTCCTCTCCCGTGTCACATCCTCTGGTCCCGCCCCCCAGCCACAGTGCGACTCTCTTCTCGGTGATTGGCTGCTGGGACGTGCCGGGGCCGCTGATTGGCTGCACGATTGCCGCTTCTGAGCTGCTATTTTGAACATAAATACGAGCATCTCTTGTCTCTGCCTCTCACACCACAAGGGGCTGTCACACCGGACATAACACCGTGCCACAGCCAGAACTACAATTATGTTGCGCTAGTACAACCGCGCACAAAACAAGTCCAGGCCTTTCTCCGGACGGATTTTTCCCACCATCAGGAGTTTGCACCGCATTCTAGCTGGAAATGCATTCTTAGCATTGTAGCATCTTAGCTTCCGGGTTGGCTAACTTGGCTCCTGCTGGGAGATAGGCAAAGGATTGTCCCTCTTTGGCCTCATCCACACACCTCGACTTCCAAAACGTGAAATTCTGCAGTTTTCGGCTCGAATCCAAGCACAAAATGCAGTCTTTTGACTTTTGCGATAGTCCTGTCTCTGTCAACAACGCGCTGAGGTGTAGGCCCGAAGAGATCCCTGGGCTTTCCCCGCTGACTCTGCCCGACTATGGAGGCCAAAACTCCCACTGCAGGACTCTCTTCTCCCCTGGTCCCAACACAGTCCTGTCCCCTGTCACTACTCTGGCTCTGGACATGAACAACCTAGCAGGACTCGGAAGGTGATTTCTTTAGTTGATGTCTCATTCACTAAGTTTGTTTTTATTATTTTCTAAGCTAGAATGTTTTGTTTTCTTTGCAGCCAATCTGATACCCCCAAAAGGAAAAGGCACCCACCACTCGAAAAGATCCCCTCTTTTGCATCTGATACATCATCTGACGCTGGTGGGTGGATGTTTTATTGAATTAGCCTTGTGTTTTAATATACTCATGTGATGGCTCAAGTCTACATGCTCTGTATGAGGTTGCATCAGGAGTGAAGACTTTGGTTAGTCCTCCTGACCTCTAGCCAGGCTCATGTTTCTCAATCTATTATTTTATGACATGTTTTTAACAATTCATAGACATAAAATAGAAATGTTGCAATTGAGGTTTAAACATGAAATTTGCATTTTGGCCTGAATCGGATATAAGTGTGATTTACATTTTGCAGCATTGTGTCAAATCCTTTTAAACCTGGGAATAAAATGGACTAAATGGGCAATTTCAGGCAGTAATGCTAGGGAAACTAGTTTGGGGACTCAATTGGCTTGATTTAATGGTATTGTCTCTGGTCTCAGGTCTTGGCATGGATCCCCCAAGTCCAGTGGATTCTGAAATTGAGGACTCGTAAGTTGCACCGTCTTTCCCTTGTCTGTTCAAATCAATCAGCCTCTGTGCCCCCTCCTCTTTAACCCCTTCTCTGTGCCAGCTGAACCAAGCCACATATCTCAGCTGAAGGATTAATGATTTTTACCGTTGGCTTTTAAACGCTAGGCTGTTCTTCTAAGCAGCTTAATATTTCTAATCTTGACTTTCTTGAGTAAGCGATATATTCTGAAGTGAAATTCATTGTAAATTATTTACATTTTTTTATTTGGGCAAGTACGTTTCATGAGCCATGCTATCTTACTAACAATTAAGCCAGGGCTAATTCTCGATGTCCATCCCTAGTGTGGCATTTGCGTAGTATAAAACATCAGTTAAAAATGGTCACAAGCAACAATTAAAACTCTAAGCATATTGATGATTCTAGTGAAATTTCTTACCAAAAAATCTTTGACATTAACTTTATCGATGATCATTTGTCAGTTAAAAAAAAAAAAAAATCTGGCGCATTACTTCTACAAATGACCCACATGCAGCTTAAAATTGTTTACACTTGCTGTGAATTTTGCACACCTATTCATTATGTCTACTCTTGCTCCCTCTGCACCTCATCTTTATCATGTCACAAACTTATGGCAGTATCTTGGGTGGCCCTGCGCTTGCGTCAGGGCGAGTCCTTGCTTGACATTTGTTATCCTCAGATGTGAGAGTTCCTTCACAGCTGCCCTCACTAACCCCCTTTCAACCTTCCACCCCCTCCTCTCTTTACAGCTGTTTGGTGGTTGCTAGGTCGCTCTCCTAGTTTTTGCTGCTGTCTGTTGAGGACGTGCAGTTTTATCAATGGGTTTAATGACAGCCCACCCCCCTCTGGTCTCTGGCACACTCTTCCTATGCACTGTTATTTCTATACGGAAAGCTGAAGCCCAGTTTGGTCTATTGAATTTAGGGCACCCCTCAGAGCACCCGCCTACTCCTTGTCCCGGGACTGTCTGAATGGGACACGCTCCCCCTTCTTGGCAAACAAAGGACTCTTGTGGACCACGGCTTGGCGGCTCTGGCTGCAGCAGGCATATGGTAGATTAGCTGATCTCGCTACCACCTCCCCCATGCGTTTTCTGAGTGCTCAAGTCGTTTAGCATACAGGTGGGCATCTCTCCAGTGCTCGACCTGGACCACCTCTGTGGCTGTTTAAACAAACTTCAACTGTTCCTCTCACTGAATAGATCCAAAACGTTTTGTGCGGGGACATTTTTCCACCTGCCCACCACTCTTGAACCTGAAGAATAAATGAATACCAGTGGAGTATCCGAAGCAAACAATTTTGTTACTTTCTAAAAAAAGTGGCACATTTCTTAACATGGACATTAAATGTGAAGCTCATTCATTTTATAGAAAAGTAAAATGTGCTAATTTTTTTTGTCAGTTTTGAACGGGCCATCAAACAGTCATGCAAGATCGTCAATGAGTAAGTTAACTATATTTACTAGTTCTCATTCAATTTTTTTTTTTTTTTTTTTTGAATCAACATTTACATTTGTTTTTTCTCTGCCCTTACAGTAGGATGCCAATCCGGAGAAACAATTCGTTACCTGTAAGAATAATTCACATTTTGATGCATTTTATCCTTACAAGAGAAACTCCTGAGCTTTTCCTTAATGTACTTATTATTTTTTTTTTCCCAGGTCCAACTGCTCAGCTACAGCCCGTGTGCAAAGGGGCAGGAATCCGATTCACATCGTTACGGTATATTTGGCCAACAACCCTCTCAGATCCCAATGTCTTCGAAACTCTGCAACAAGGAAAATGTGCCTGTGAGTAAAATCGGCCATAGAGCAGCATTGTTTTATTGTCTTAATGATCTGTTGCTATGGTGAAGGCATTGCATTTTTTGGCCAATTATGTTTTCGTATGTGCAAACCAAGCAGAAGTGCATTCATTAGACAATGTTATGTGAACCTCCTCCATTTCTTCTGTTTCCTTCAGGAGGGCTTTGAGTTCAAAAAACCCACTCGACCTGTGTCCCGGGGTCGCATGCGCTCCTTCCATGACGGGAAGGGCAAGGACACTCTTTCTCGGCGACCAAACTCTGCTCCAGCCCTCATGGTATACCCTCTTTTAACATTGGTACATCCCAGTTTTATATATAATGTGTATTACAAATGTCTACTTTGTATCCACTTCCAGTTTGCCTCACCCCCTCGTGTGCAGCAGCCAGACTTTGACTCCAGCCCCTCGTTTCACAGACGCTCAGACGATGAGGACGATGGCTTCTTGGAAATTATGGATGACAACATGGAGGTCAGAAGCAGTTTGCTAACTTTAATATCCCAGTGTGCTTTTCTACTGTCTTTCATTAAAGCTAACAGCCTAACTCTTTTACAGAGTGGTTGTGGGATGCCTTTGGGAATGGCTAGTCTTCTCACTGCACCTCTTGTTGGCGACAATAATGCAGAGGATTCAGTAAGTTTTAGTTGCGTCTCATATATATTGTGACTCCAACACTATTGAAAGATCTTAATATTAATTTTCTTAAGGTATATTCTAACTGTTTCCTTTTCTGTACAGCCAATAATCCGATGTCGGCCCAGAAGCCTGTTCCGTTCCCCGTCCATGCCCAGCCCGGTGTGCCGCCCCTCAGCGAAGCGGCCCGACTGCCCCGGGGACGAGACCACTCCTGTGCGGGTGAAGAGGAGGCGCAGTCTGGCAGGAACACAGGTCTCCACCACGGAGCAGGACATGGAGTCTCCACGACAGGTGAGGAACTCTAAAACAAAGTAGTATCAAACAAACTGACGTACACTTCACATTGCCACTACTCAATTTCAGTAGTCAACTTGGCTTAGTGGAATTGCACAACCCTTTAAATGTATTTTGTGTCTTTCGTCTTTCAGAGCTGTTTGTTGCAGCGCTCCAAATCCTGTTGCCAGACCGACATCGAGAGGCTGCTGGATGGGGAGGAAGGCTCCGCGGACCTCATCGGCGACTTCACCAGAGTAAGGAAAACCTGTGTGTACATGTCTTGTCAAGAAATATTCATTTTATTAATGTTTGTTGTTTTTCCATAGCCATACGTGCTTCCTACTGTGAGTGGAAAACATCAAGACCTAAAGTACATTACCCCAGACATGGTGAGTTTTGTTTAATGTCTTTTAATTTCAACGTTGTAAAGTTTTTTTGTTTTTTCTTAAATGCGTATTTTTATTTTTTTAAGATGGTGGCAGCTCTCAACGGCCAATTCAATCATGTGGTCGAGCAGCTCATTGTGATCGACTGCCGTTATCCTTACGAGTTTGATGGAGGACACATCAAGGTGACTTTATTTTTTTTTTTTTTTGCATGGATGTAATGTTTTGTTCTACATTTCTGCTATACCTTTTAGGCATGCACTTAATCAAAAATAAGTCTTCATTAAACACTTCCTTGACGCTTGTTGGATTAATGAAGTATTAGTGTGAGGTTTAGCCTTCACTCGTGTCTATTCAACAACACTCAGTGTGTGCTTTTATCTGGACAGGGCGCTCTGAACCTGCATCAGGAGGAGCAGGTGGAGGACTTCCTGATGAAGAGGCCCATCATATCGAGCAGCGGGGAAAAGCGTGTGGTGGTGGTGTTTCACTGCGAGTTCTCGTCAGAACGTGGCCCCAGAATGTGCCGCTTTGTCCGCGAGCGCGACAGAGCCATGAACGAATACCCCAAACTCTACTACCCCGAGCTCTACATCCTGAAGGGGGGCTACAAGGACTTCTACCCGGGATTCCAGGTCGGTTTTTGCTTTTATTTCCTCCTCCTGCGTAAACCAGGGCTTCATCGTGTCAGGATTTAGTTTTGTTTTTAAGACGTTTAACAGTTTGTACAAAAACATTTAAACTGTCATAAAATCCGTCCAACTACCACCTGGCTTTAAAACATTTTCTAGTTTTCAATATTTATTTATTTTTATTTTATTTTTTAGGCTGTGATATCTTTTTAGATCAGCTTTTTCAGACAAACTCAAATATTGACTCCCAGAGCTTTTTCTTACAAGTATGCAAAAGATTCCAGGTATTCTAATGAGTCGTATAAAATGCTTCTTGTAATCTGATCCACTGAGTTTTTTTTGGGACATTGTCAGGTTTTAGTTTTTATATATTTTTGTGTGTGCTAAACATCATTGGTTTGATGAAAGCCAGTCCACTAGCACAAATCAAATGGCGTCCCCGTAACTGGCTGTTCCTCGTCTCCTTCCAGGTCCAGTGCGAGCCCCAGTCGTACCGTCCAATGCTACATGAAGACTTCAAGGAGGACCTGAGGAAGTTCAGGGTGAAGAGCCGCACGTGGGCCGGCGAGCGCAGCAAACGAGACATGTACAGCCGCCTCAAGAAACTGTGACACTCCTGAACCCCATTATCCCGCCACTGCCAACACCCCCCCCCCCCCCCACTGCCCCAAACTGCCTCTTCAGAACCTGCCAAACGGGTACACTTCCACCAGCACAACCTCCGCACAATCGCTACGTCTATAGCAAAAAGTTAGTAATTTATGCAAAATGTTTACGATTTGAAGACGTGAAGTGTTTGCTGCGGCGACTGATCTACGTTAAAACCACTTGGACCGAATACTGCCAGTTTTAAATTACTGTCACTGTCTCTTTTGCATCAGGATAAACCCACTGCCTCCTCACTAAATTTTGTTTCATGTCCCACCTTTTTTCTTATTTTTATTTTATTTAAGCACTTAATTTAAAATTGCTGTCAAATGGTGATGTGCTTTTAGATGGTTTTTTTTTTTTTAATTTTTGCATCTGTTTTAAGCAAACTCCCCAAAATTGTTTTAAAATGTCGCAGCGTGTAAATATGAGCGTTTTATTTCCCCATTTGTGAAAAGCATAGGATGTGACCAGGCAATATTGAAGTCTTCAGGACCGTGTAGTTTTTATGACAAGACCAAAGCAAAACAAAACAAAACAAACTACCTGTTAACTTTGCAGTAAGTTTTTTCTTTTTCTTTTTCCCCCAGTGCTGCAGGTCAGCGAGTGTATGAAAAATGACTTTGTTCTGCTTTGTGAATGGATAAAAATGTGTCTTCCTGTTATAATACAAGACTGATGTAAAAAATTAAGACTGGTTTGAAATCTGTGGTACGGGCTCAAACGGGAGCTACGGAATAAAGCCAAAATGAGTTTTACAGCGATGTCTTTTTTTTTTTTTTTAAATCTACTTCAGCTACTCCAATTGCTTGACGCTGCAGATTTGCAAAGGCATTTCTATTGCTTTTTGCCCCTGGTCGCGGTTCTGCTTGTGGGTCTAATCTACATTAACTGGACCATTACTGGATCGCTTGATTGTTGACCAGCATTTTTTCCCAAAGTGAATGTGTAGTCTCTCAAGTTACCAGACCAAGTTAGTGTTGCATCGCTATTGTTAACAAACACAATGAACAAATGCTGTGGAATTTTTACTGCCATTGTCTGTGGAAGCAAGTTATCTAGGACAACTAGCTTTTTACAAGTATTACTAGTTGCAATTTCCCTAATGATCTGTTGACAAAGATAATTCTCTTGACACACTTTCCAATACATTTTACAAAGCAATGCTCCAGGCCGAAGGAAGCCTTTTGTGTATTTTAAAAAGTGCTTAGTTTAGCCTTTGTCGGGGCCTCGCAGGCTTTCCCACAGTTCCTGTTTTTTCAAATCTCCCTCCACTGCAGCTCTGGGAGTGGCCTCCGCTGCACCAGGCCTGGGCTTTCTTCTGTGTGGGGGAGTGGAGCAGGGAGGCGCCCAGGGCATGTGTGGACTGGAGGAGGGCAGAGAGCAACAGAAAACCTCCTCACGTGCTGTAAAAGCGTGATCAACACTCCCTCCCTCCTGGCTCTGCCCCAAAGTTTGAATCCAGCGCCTAGTCCAACTTATTTCCCATGGAGCAGTGGCCGTGTTTGCATTCCTCCACCCTCGCATAACTTCTGTCATGCTCCACGTGAATGGAAACCTTGCTTCTGTCGGTCACTTGTGGACATAGTGGTGTAACTGCCATTGCACGCTCACGTTCAGAATCACGATACAGACGAGATAAAAACAGAACAAAAGTTTAGCTGTAAAAGTGTGTCTGGGTCTGGATAGTACTTGTGAGTCGGTAAAAACAAGATTTCACAAAAGAAGAGTTGTGTGAGAAAAAGCAGGATTCAACTCTACAATGTGAAAAGTCTTGTCATGACCCAAATAGACTTTTAGTGATTAGAAAGAGCACTGTTGGCTCCGTGAAGGCTGTCCCCCCCTCTGGTTTATTCAAATATCACTTAAGAGCTTGGGAAATGAAATTTTTTTTTCTCTTTTCATTGTGTCGCCTACAGGGATTTGAAAAGAGGTTTGGAAGGGGAGAGTTGTAGAAAAGGTCAACACATTTTTAACAGTAATTGCATCGTGTTACGGTGGTTATTCTTTTTATAAACTTGCCAAATAATGCAAGCAATAATACTGGCTCTCCAGCTTTCGGATTTACACATGCCCCACAAAGGATTATGATGCAATGATATATATTGTATATACTCAAGAGGTGATTACGTTAATTAAAAAGCAGATTTTGATAGATCTGAGATAGAATAAAGATTCTACAAGAATGGGAACAATAATACAAGGGAAATGTTATTAAGTAAACATCAAAGGTTTATTATCCAGTACAAGTGTTGATCTTTGTATAATTGTTCTATGTATTCACACTGAGTCCTGTTTACCTGCCCTAAGTTTAGATCCAAACTTATGTTGATGGCTCCTTGGGTTTTATGGAACGCCACGTTTATTGTTGTAAAATAAATATAAAATGTATAAACAGGATAATGAAAAAAAAAAAGAAATAGTGTACTTTTGAGGAGGATCTCGCCTCTTTGGGCTCACCCATACATAATGCAACACATGCTGAAGTGCCCTGTCCTTCCTTTTCCTCCATTGCAGATTTACATGTAGATCAGCCTCTTACAAGACACACAACCAAACCCTTCCAATTAAAGGCTGAAGAGCTGACACATCAGGAGGGAGTGTGTGGCACAATGGGGGAACAACATGAGGAGAAAGAAAATAACACCACAAACATTTATAATTATAACATTTATAATCTTAAATGCAGTCTCAGTAAAAGATGTCAAAAGGGCATTCATTTTGGGATATTCAGGGATCAATTTTATCTATTAATTGAAACAATTAACATGCTCTGTCCTTTGTTAATCAAAATATATTTTGATCAACTCCATACTTCATTTACAATCTGCTTCACTGCCATGTTTACAAAGTACAAAGCAGCAGGAATGTCGAGTCTGGAGAGAAAAGGAGAAGAACGTATTTATAATAGCTATAAAAGTTGTGTTTTTGGTTTTATTTTTGCACTTTTTACCCCCGTTTCGCCTCCCTCTTTGTTGTGGCCCTGAGCCGGCCGTAACAGTGTCCCACTCATAGAACTAAATTTCTACTGTATGGTCCTGCTCCAGCCCCAGAGGATCAGGTCATTGGTGCCGACCTCAAGGTCCTGTTAACACTGAAGCGAGGACGTTGGCAACAAACTGACAGTGTGTGTGAAATGCAGCTCCGACAGCTCGAACTGTGAGCTTGGTGAGAACTGAAACTTTCCACCTACTTCCCATTTTTACTAAAGAAAATAATACAAATATTATGATATTATGAAATCACACCATGTTTGAAATCAGAAACTATATAACTGTATAAGTTCAGGAACATAACTATCAAAATTGTTTTAAGTTTGAAAATTGCAACGGCACCTTCAGTTCTGTCTTCAGGCCCTCACCAACCAATGAACGAGATAATAACACACAATTGGCACACTTTCGTCATACAACTTTACACTGTTTGCAATTAAGGTTAAGGCTCTTTTGAGGACCCTCTATCTTCAGGGTTCTAAACAGTATTTTAGTCTATTGTATTGATTGGGCCTGGTCTGACAGCATTCAACAACAAACAATCACCACATTCAAAAAAGTGATTCAAGAAATAATTGTAGCGGAGAACTTGTAAATCTGAAATACATTGATTGTTGGGATGGTCTATAAAATGCCAAAGTCGGCTACTATTACCCTTAGCTGACTTCACAACTCCTACTTTACAGGATTCACATTGAGCAACTTTAATATTTCAAAATGTATTTTAGAAACTGACAATTACTGGATGTTTTCAAAGTTGGTGCGTGTTATGGGTTGGTCTTCTCTCATATCCTGTTTTTCTTCTTGCTCAATGTGACTCATAGTGAAAAACTACTGCAGATAGTTTAGTGGTTTCACTGGAAGAAACTGCACATTCTTATGCTCTGTTTTATTTTCTAGTAAGTCAGACCCAAAGTACACATGCTTATCCTTTCCAGATACGGTTTCACTTTGAACAATATTTCCACTTTCATGTTGAGTTACCGGTTTAATAATTACAATATCACAATAAAAACAGTTAATGTGTAACAAACAAACAGCTCATAAAAAAATACTTTAACTATAATGGAGAAAGTAATGCCGTTCAAATGTGCTTACTGAATATATGATTTTCCATGCTTCACTAGTGTAGGAGTGTGAAGTCTCTGCAGTAATGAGGCGTTAGCTGCAAAGATATTTACAGTAAGTGTTATTTCCTCTGCTTAATGACTCTGCTATACACACACATACAGAATACAACATCAAATGCAAAAAGTGTGGATTTCAAGAATACAAGTTCATAAAAGAACCTGATAAAAAGCCTTGGGTCCTTTTCATCCACAGTGAGAGGGTGATCAGCCCCAGCAGCTGTTCTCTTCACATCTGTCTGTGACCGTCATGAGCAGCTGCTGATAGTGACTAGTGAAACAACCACACATTCAGAGTCGCTCAACCCCTATGTGCAGTCACAAGTATCGCTTTCACACAGGGGACAGAGGTTGGACAGAATATTTAGTTCACAAGTGCTTGTTTTAGTTTGTTTGATAAACCCTGAAGGGCTTGTCTGTGTGGTCTCTAATTTGTGTGTTTAGATGCAAGTCCAGATTTTGGACTTAATGACATAATTGTTTACTTTGCGTTTTGTTCTTTTAAAAGAAACAATAAGGGAAAACGGATAACAAACATTACAAAGCTGTATGTTTGCACTAGAATATTATGCAAAACAACGTGAACGTAATGAGAATACAGTTCCCATGTTACACATACATAATATGCAAATGTTTCTGTAGCTAAATATATTTGCAAAGTATCCCACACATGTTTGGAGTATTCTTCTAAGCATTACAGCAAGCCTAATATCTCCCAACTAGGCCTAAAGCAGGATGTTTCAGGGTATTTTCAAGGACTGAAACAGGGCTACATTATTTCAATAACACTAGTATAATATATCATATCAGGCTTGAATCTAAGTCTTAGACATGTGGCGTATTAACCATTAAACTGCCCCACTGTAACCCCAGGCCATGGGCTAATCCTGTCTGGGCTGTTGGCTGTTGGTTGTAGGCGTTTGTCTTGCTTCTCTTCATAATACTTGATTAATCTATCTCTGAAAGCTAATTACTTAGAAAAACACACAATTAATTAAAATTTTGTATTTCTTTTAAATGCACATATATACACACATACACACACACGCACACACATTGATTTCTATTGTAGTAAATTCATTTGTAACAAAAAATAAATAAAAGCAGCGGGCGCCATCTCGTGGACGTGTTGTGCCATTTCAGTTGCTTCTGAAGGAGTCATGTGACCAACGCGGAAGTTCCAGTCCACAGATTCAAAACATGAAGCAGACGTGCCACTGTTGTGTAGAAAGCAGCCTGTAATGTAGATGAAAGTCAACCTGGAGGATGGTTCTGTGTTTCCTGATCCACACGGTGTGCGGGGTGAGTGCGCTGGGCCCCGGGGACAGCAGAGTGCTCTACTACCGGGGCTTCGGTCCACATCAGCCCGAGGAGGAGATCCAGGAGCATGGGCCAGAGGAGAGGAGACTGCTGCTCAAGGAGAGGCTCGCTGTGGTCGCCAGGTCACTATTATGTGTGATGGTCGAATAATGCAGAATAGAAATATAAAAAAGACACAATATTAATTATTAAATGCTTGAATCAAGGGTTTTTTTTTATCTTAATTTAAGTATAACTAGACTGTCTTAATACAATGGGACAATCTGTTCAGTCTTACTTCAAGTGCTGTTGCAATCTATTTCTCATTCCAAAGAAGACATTTCTTGAATTGTCTTGTATCGTCCTAAAAAAATACATTTTTAATTGTCCCATTGTTTTTAGACTGTCAAAATGTGCTCAAGACTTTTTATTTGAGCATTTATTACCTCATTTTTTGCAGCGTAGAATGCTGTAAAAGCTGGGCTACCTAACTTTCAAACGACACAAATAGTATACATGTAATACAGCTTTCTCACTCTCAAAACAGTTTATATCTTTAGTTTTGACATACATGTATTGTTTACCCGCTCTGTCACATCTTCAGAGCAGCCTTTTCAGACAGAGAAGTGAAAAAGAGAGGAGTTTGCTGTCAGCTCTCAGCCCAAAGCCCAACCCTCCAATAGTGGATCTCAGGAGTCTTTCTTACAAGCATGCAACATATGAAACGTTTTCTAAAACCGCACCATGTCTGTTTTCTTCATTTTACTTTTACTATAGAATTCAAATGAACATTTCTGGTCTCAAAAAATACTGATTCAAATATTATAGCTGATCTATCAAAAGGATAACATTGTAGGGTACTATTTTAACTCTTACGTGGAAATGTGTTTATGAACAACAAAGGAAGTCAAATTCTACTTTTTTACTACTATTTAACATCTACTAAAACGCTACAATACTCATACTTTATCATTGTCAAAGTTTTTAACAGTTGCTCAGTCTCCCAGACAAAAAAGTCAAAGTTTTTGTCTGTCAGATGTCTGAATACTTAACATGTATATTGCATTTGGTCACAGGTTCTGGTTGTAGCAATAGCATCGGCAATATACATGTTAAGTATTCAGACATCTGACAGACAAAAACTTTGACTTTTTTGTCTGGGAGACTGAGCAACTGTTAAAAACTTTGAAAATGATAAAGTATGAGTATTGTAGCGTTTTAGTAGATGTTAAATAGTAGTAAAAAAGTAGAATTTGACTTCCTTTGTTGTTCATAAACACATTTCCACGTAAGAGTTAAAATAGTACCCTACAATGTTATCCTTTCAATTGGGACAAACATTTATTCTTTATGAAAAAAGTACCCCAGCTTTAATGTAAGATGACAGACAGCCTTAACGTTTTACACACTACTGCACTTAACTGTAATGTTCCTTTTTATTTTTAATCATTTAATGCAGATCTGTGTTGCACTGTTTCCTTCAGCAAATTTTCCTTGTTGATCTCATCTTAAAATTGTTAAGTCTTCGGTTTCTGCGTTTTGGCTTTATTATTTACATGTATAGTCAGTTACTTTTACTGTTATGTTTTTGTCTGAATAAATTACATAAAATCCCCTCTTACTGTTACTACTCTTGGTGGCTTTATCAACAACATGGCTCAAGATATGCCCATCTGAACTGGGACTATTAATGGTTTGTAAGAATCTGCTGCAAGTTCTAAATACTTTAAATAGTTTAAGTAGTGGACTTGATACTTTTTTTTTTACTAGATATGGCAAATTCTTGAGTGTCTTGAAACGTCTAATCCAAACTGAACTTGTAAACATAACCTGTGCTCATAATAAATACATACATAAAATGACAATGGGATAATTTTTCACTTATATATTTTTACGATAAAAGTAGGGATTTTAGTATGTTTTGTTAGCAGTGTGCTGTCTTCTCATATTTCTAAAAACCCTGTGCTCCGTGTCCTTGTTGCAGGCAGGTGCGCAGTGCCGTAACCCTGTCCCGCGAGGCCTCCGGGCGGCAGCTTGTGGAGGTGGTCCCAGGAGAGGAGGGGCTGGCTCTGCAGGAGGCCGACAGCGGGGTGGTGCGTCTCCGAGCGGGGCAGCCCTTCTCTGGGGAGATGAGCGCTCTGTGGCTGGGCGTCCTGAACCTGGCCTTCACTCTGGTGTGTGAGCCTCACGACAACCTGCTGCTGGCGGAGGGCACCCTGAGGACCCTGGCCCGCCTCTGTGTGGAGCACCTGCACATGCTGGGCCAGGGCAGCGAGGTGAGCGCCACTAAATATGATAATAATAATAATTTGTGTTACTGTCGCTTTACTGAGTCACTTTGTCCTATACCCACATGCTGCTAACTTGTACAGATGTATACATGCAACTATATGCACTGGAATATACAGCATTTTATACAGCGCCTTATTACGCTGAAGTCAGGGGTTTTTTAACTTAATTCTTGCTGCTTAATCATGCTAAAGCTGGAAATTTTAGACTTCTTTCCTTCTTAAACTCAAGATAGAGATTTTTTTTATTTTTATTATAGAGTTATTATTCATTTATCTTGAGCTGTGTGCTCCTTATTCCTACTGTGCTTTAACTTGTAACTTGTGACACTGACATTTCCCCACTGTGGGACAAATAAAGGATCTCTTATTCTTCATCATATTGGAATTGGCTAATCAGCTGAGTGGTGAATTATAATAATAATAATAATAATAATAATGCATCAGTTTTATATAGTGCTTTTTTGGACACTCAAAGACGCTTCACATGTCATTATTCATTCACTCCAAACACGGTGGTGATAAACTACTACTATAGCCACAGCTGCCCTGAGGCACACTGACAATTATCACTACAAGAGCTAGTTGAGTTAGTTGAAATGTTATAAACTGTCAAATCAATAACATATTTCAATAAGTTTTTAGTTCTAAATGTGCAATTGCGTTTGATTGTTACCCCGGATCTCTGACTTTTACTTACTACATCCAACTGTTTCACATTCTACCTAACATTAAGCGAAACCTTTGGCCGCAGAACAGAAGCATACACTAAAAGCGATACACATCAGTCATCCTTTGTTGCTTTTGCTTTTGCTCTGCAGGTCCTTCTGAGGAGCAATCGCGTGGACTTCTTGCTCAGTCGTCTGCTTCCTCACGGACAGCTGCTCTTCTTGAACCACAAATTTGCTCAAAGTCTGGAGAAGGAGGTGGCACTCTACATGACCAAGTGACCTACTGCCACTTTGAACTTTACTTTACCACCTGCTTTATCCTCATAGAACCGGCCCCAGACCACAGAGGATCACTGTAGAGACGATATGTCCAAAACAATCTCATGGTTCGGACATTCGTAATTATAAAACAGACACTTCATCCTCACTAATTGTTGGTGGTGCTCACTATTGTAAGACATCGTATTGTCAAACTTCTATTTCTACGATAATTTCAAATCCTGACGTTGTTGTAGAGAGGTCGACAGCGCAGTCTAGGCGGCATGCAAGGTGGCCCAGGAATTTACAGGTACTGAAGAAAGTAGTATATTATCTGATATTTAGTATCAGAGGATTAAGAACCTCATCCACAACGACCACAATAGACTCCAAGCTCTCATAGATGTTAAACTTAAAGCGGCAACTCACGCTTTCCAGAACTGGGGGATGGAAACTTCTGATCAGGGAGATTTGTGTAGTTTCTCTTGGCATTATCATTTGGAAATAGAAAACACATTAATTTGACAATAAATGGCTTCACACAGCCGCTAACCATGAGTGAAACAAAGTGATTGCGTTACCATTACCAATCTCTGAGTTATGGCCAAAAAGCAAAAACACTATCAAGCACGTTTGATGAAGTTTCAAAGATGGACGCCTTAAAGCTCGTTGCAGAATTATACTCGGATCTTAAAATTTCCCATGGTTTCTGAATGAGATGAGTTTTTCCAACCACAAATGGACCACTGGACAAACTGCAGCAATGACATGATTCAGATTCACGTATTTGCCATTTGCAGTAAAACCACATTGGAATACATTTGCAAAAGTCCCCAGTGTGCACAAGACAAGTACGTCATTAAAACAAGGTTTAAAGTACATCTCAATGAACGATATCTTCTGCCAGAGGGAAGAAGCTGGAACATGGCTTTTCCAGGGTGGCTAGAAGACTTGGCTTCCTCATGCGCAATTCTCAACACTTTTAAGTTCTTCATTTTGGATCCTAGTGCCTGGGGTGCTAAGTTAAACGATTGATCACAACTAATGATTTTTGTTATCGATTGACTGGCTAACTCGGATGATTCTGCGACGACTACAGAAGGAAATGTGTAACTAGTCATACACTTGAGTTTTGTTTTGGTCAAATGCATGACAAATCCATTATCCACCGAGCTTTTTGGATCCAAGCAACTCAATCATTATCACAAAATCGTTAAATACAGCCCAAGAACCTACAGATATTTCAAATTTCACAAATCCTGCTTTGTCTACACTCTACACACACCTACTGTATTCTCTACATTCTGGATTCCTGCTACATACCGTACATAAGAGACAATCACCTATATTTGGCGTGCATATTTCTTGGCAGTAAACAGACTTTCTCCATATCAAGCCGGCGGTAAACCAATATGTTCCTCAGCCGATTTCGTGCCTCGTTGTTGAGCGTGTGGGAGGCGTTGGTTGAAATCCTGTTTGTCAAATGGAGGAGTGGAAAGGAGAATGTGGCACATCAAAGTGAGCAGCTCGCAGAGGCCAGTTAAAACCTACTTGTCAACATTAAACGCTGCTATTTATCTGATTCAGCGCACTCCAAATGTCACAGCCCAACCTTGGGGAAATCAGGCCCTCTGCGGTTATTTGTGTACAGTTGTTTGCGGCGGATTTAATGGCCGTAAAAGTGAAGCACGGTGACTCGATGGTGGACCTTCTGTTCCCTGTGGAGGAGGACATCAAATGCTTCGAGTATTATGCACAGCAGATGTAAATAGAAATGCATGGGAGTCTTGTTAATGTAATATACAGGCAGAGGCGCTTTGACCTGAGATGTTGTTTAATGAGAAGGCAAACCTGAGAAAAATAAAAATGAACCTTATGGATGTTATTAACTTTGACTTTTTTTTCTTGAATAACATTCTCTTACCTGCCAGCGGATTATTATTAGAGATATAAAAAGCACAGAGTAGAAATAAAGAAAATGGCAGCACAAAGTATTCTGGAATGAGTTATGCTTTGTCCCCTGCATTTAACCCACAGGTGTCAAACCGGTGTGGGCGACAGTGGCTCAGTTTGTAGAGCATTGGCCTTTGAGCCTGAAGGTCATGGGTTCGAGCCCACAATAAGACCTACTTCACGACTCCCGCTGATAACTGCTGTGGTTGTGTCCTTGAGCAAGACACTTCACCCCACTTTGCCTGAAGCTCCTGCTGAAAGCTCTCAGCTCCTGTGGACTCACCACCTGCAGGAGGATCAGTGAGGGGCTGGTGCTATGTGTGCTGGGTGCAGCTCTGACTGCCACCCCCCCGACCCAGAAATGGATTAAAGGGAAGAAAATGGATGGATGGTGTCAAACCGGTCCTCAAAGGGCCAGTTTGGCTGTAGCACTCCAGACTCCACCCATTTCCTCAAATCTTTTGGGATAAAACTGGACTCGCCTGAAAAAATTGTTGGAATCTGTGCTACTGCTCAGGTTGGAATTAAAACCTGTAGCCACACTGGTCTTTTCTGGAACTGGTTTGACATCCCTGATTTAACCTGTCCTGCAGTGATACTAGACTAGGGCTTCAAGAGCAGTGATTGCTGTACTAAATTTCTCCATTGTGAGATCAATAAAGTTAATCTTTATCTTATCTAGAGCACACAGGCACAAACTCCAGATGTTGATGCTCGGCCTGGCCTGTTGTTTTGTTTTTCTTGCCGTGATGATAGGACTCCTAATCTCGACGTCTTTTGCCTCCACCTGCGAACTGGTCTCACCTGGAAAATCAACAACTTTGTAAAGTCCAAGTCCAAGATGACTGCTGTTGTGATTTATGGCTATATGGTCAGGAGTCAGCGGGAGGATATTACCTTATTAACTAGAGGAAACCTACACAAAAATTACTTTGAGGTCCAAACAGCAATACATCTTACATTTTATTTTATCTTTCTCCTTCTATCTTTTCTTTTATGAAATCAAACTTTATGAACAATAGATTAAAGATTGTGTACCTACAGCAACATCGACTCCCCCCGGCGCCTTTATTCAGGCGTCTCATTATATAGGTAGACGTATAAAGCAATGTTCGGATACACTGCACATATTAAATTGATTTTTTGTTTGCATTCAAAGGTTTCAAGGCTTGTAAGTCTGTTGTACCGTTAAACACGTTGAGAGACTTCAGAGACTCAAAAACAAGTTGTGTTTCTTCTGTCATTTGGATGATATTCCCCATATCCCTCTCTCACTGACCTCACAAACGTTTCATGCTGGCATCCGCATCTAGATCACTTTATTTTTTGCAACTGAGAAAGCGTGTCTGAAGGCATGCAGGCATCAGACGCTTTGATCTTTTTTGTTGTTGCAAATTAAATAACTTTTTTTTTGTAATCGCCCGAGGCATATTCTTTGAAACCTGTGTACTCTGCAATCAAGGACGAAGCGAGGCTGAAACATTAGGAGCACAGGAGGAAGAAGTTAAATCATGCATGAGAGAGATAGAAAGCCTGTGTTTGTCCCAATGGGAACAGTTTTTGTGAACTTGAACACCAGGGGGCAGTGTTGCAATGACATCGGAACAGGCAGAACGGTGCTGGGGAAGACTATAATACATCCAGGAGCAGAACTAGGAACAGAACCAAAGCCACACCATGATTCCACTAATCTGTGACATATGTCCAGTCTATTCAGGTTAGCAACAGAACAAACCGTTACTCTTCCTCCTCCAGTACATGCTTGATGCTATGTGCTTAAAGCTGGGGTACCTAATTTTCTAAACCACCTAAAAACCAAAATCCAGCTCCTCGCTCTCAAAACACTAATTCTCTCACAAATTTTACATGCTACGTCACATTTTTAGCTTTTTCAGACAGAAGAGAGGACCTCACTCAGCCAATCAGCACGCAACCTAAAGCATCAATAGTGACTCACAGGGCCAAGTGTGCAAAAGATACACACAATGTTATAGCACTCCTAAATCTGGTGGACCTAACTTATTTGTTTCATTATTATTGCTTTTTTGTCTCACCAGAAAGAGTCCACTAAAGAATAAAAATGATAACCACTACAAGCTGTCCTCGTTCTTGTAAGAAAGAGCACTGTGAGTCACGATTTGAGTTACCCTTGAGTTAGGGTGGTCATCTCTTTTTCATATTCCTGTCGAAAAAAGCGGATCTGAATATGAGACAACATCCGTTATCATAAAGTACATTATGTTGGTTAAAAGAAATGCATGTAATTCCATGTGGATAAAAAACTGCTCTTTTAAAACACATGTCTGCGGTTGGTACTTCTAGATCCAGACTTGTCTTTTGTTGGTTGTGATGCTGACGCTGAGCTAGTTCTGTGTGTGTCCACTAGGGTGCGGTGTGTAGCCTGTCTCCCACACCTCCAGGCTGTAGCTGATAAGAGACAAATGTTGACTCCCGAGCACAAGCTCCAAATCAGGAATGCAGCGGAGGCATCTAAACACTTTTAAAATGAAGTGCTAGACATCAAACACACCACACGCTGATCGTTTTCTAGTTTGTGTGTGAGGCGGTTTGTAATTACATGTAATTATAGCCGCGCTGACACCATGAGCCTGATCTGGGCCTGTAAACAGATGTTTGATGAGATGCACGAGCAGGAGTCAAGTGGAGACAACAATCACTGGATCTGATGCTGACTACGGCCGGGATTGACTTTACATCTAGACTACAGGATGAAGATGGGGAGGAGAGGGCCGCATGGATACACAGTGCTTTTAGTCCAGCAGAAAGTACTGTATATACTGTATGTAACACTAATTAAAAGAATTAAGTATTAGGGATAGTTATTGCAATGGTGGTCTTTTCCCCTTTTCTTTTTGAAAAGAGCTGATTTATAGATGTGACAGGACACAAACAAATACATTCATTAGTCTATTAGTGATTATTCAGTTAGTTAGTGATTAACGGAAAATAATTAGATTTTATTACTTACTTACTCAATTTTGCTGCTTGAAAGTTAGTTATTCAAGCCTTCTTTTCTTAATGTAATTTTGACTTATCATTAGACATTT